CGGCTGGGCCGATTGTGCTCAAATTTGGCACATCGCTAGAAACCGGTCAGTAGGGTGCCGTGCACAAGTCAGTTGGAGGTACCCCCTCGAAATTTCGCACGTGCAAGACTCACCCCCTCGCTCGCTCCGTTAGTCGCCCCAAAAGGCGCTATACTGGTAGGAGTAGTAGTAGGGGTAGGGGTAGGGGTAGTGGTAGTAGTAGTAGGGGTAGGGGTAGGGGTAGTGGTAGGGGTAGTAGTGGTAGGGGTAGTAGTAGGGGTAGTAGTAGGGGTAGTAGTAGGGGTAGTGGTAGGGGTAGTGGTATGGGTAGGAACATGGGTAGTAGTAGTGGTAGGGGTAGGGGTAGTGGTAGTGGTAGTGGTAGATGCAGTGGTAGGGGTAGTGGTAGGGGCAGTGGTAGGGGTAGTGGTAGGGGTAGGGGTAGGAGTATGGGTAGTAGTAGTGGTAGGGGTAGTGGTAGTGGTAGTGGTAGGGGTAGTGGTAGGGGTAGTGGTAGGGGAAGGGGTAGTGGTGGAGGCAAAAGTTGAACAGTGGTGAGTGGCCCGGGCTGATCCCATCGGACGCGAGGTGACCTTTGTGACCTGGCCTCACCCAAAGTGACCGGGGCTGACCCCTTTGACCCGTCTTGACCCCGTATCAGCCAATTTCATCCAACAAAGGCCTCAGAACAGTTCTTTTTTAAATTCTCTTCACATTTCCGTCCATATCTATGCTTCTAGACGACACATCGATTTGAATCGAACATCATTCGAAAGCAAATTGGCTGGTGCCGCAATTTTTTCCTACCACGCAGCAAAGCAAGTGGCGCAGCCGCTTGTCTATATTACTATTTGAGGTGACGTAGTTTCTGTCTGTAACCGAGGTCGCGACATGGTGCTACGTAGCGCGGGTTACAGGTCACACCGTTGCACCTACCGCGCTGAAGTTTGCGCAACTCATAGAACAAGGATGGACAACGTGCCTTTGAGCGGTCTCGGCTCGATCGGATCGATAGCGAGCGCGTGGCGCGTGCCCAAAAACTGCAAATTCGCGTCATAGACTTTACATGTATTAATCGGCTGGCAAAAACGGGCGAAAATGGCTAAATTTGCCCGACACGGGTCCGGTTCCCGTGCAATATCTCGGTAACCGTGCACCCGATCGTCACGGGGAAAACAGCATCGTGTAGAGATTCGAACGGGTAATCGAATGGTGTGCGGTGCAGGGGTGGCACGTGCCACGTGCACCCGTGAGGGCACTTTTGTTTGAAAAATTGACGTTTCGGACGGTTTTTTGGATTTTATTTTATTTTCACATGACCGTCAGACTGAGAGAGTTAAAACAATGCCTATTGGCAAGGGAAACGTACCGCCTCTCATGGAAAAATTGTGAAAAGCTAATTGATCAAAAACAAGGTGGAAGAAATCGCTGGAGAAAATGCTATTTGTCAATAATGTGCCACTAAATAATTGCACGGGTTTTGCTGCTTAACCTGATACGTTTGACAATTGAAAATGCTATCATTGGAAAGAGCATTCAATTCTCTCCAAGATCCAATCATCACGTTTGCATGACAAGCAACAGTATTCTTAAAAATATAAACGTTTCAAACCTCTGCAAATCCATTTTTAGCGAAAATTATCTACGCCTTTCATTTGTCAAAAAACTACGCACCTGAATTATAAAACACATTTGACAGGTTCACAGAACTATTGACAGGTTCTGAAGTAGAAAGCATGCTTATCAGACACGGGCACCTCGATGCGATGGATATTCTTTCCAAACCAAATCATTTAGCCATCAAAAAGCAATCGACCGAAATGGATGGATAACCCAACCGACACAAGAACAACCGAACACCCGCCGATCGAAAATATCCCTTTTCGCGTTGCGGAGCACGCGGGTCACCCTAGTATTTTACTATTTGAGGTCACTGATACCAGGTCAGGTCACAGAGCTCAGGTCACTGGGGGGTCACAATATGAAAGTGTCGTGTGATACATGTTTTACGCTCCATTTTACATGACAAATGCGATTATGTGGGTCAGGCAGCCTTTGGGGCTAGCTTACGTCACGTTTTGGTCAAGGTCATGTCAAGGTCAGGTCAAGGTCAGGTCAAATAAGGTCAAATTTCAAGGTTAATATTTTTGCATAAAATGAGTATCGAATCGATGCAGCTTGTCACGGGGAGTTCGATGGTGGTCTTTGTTTTGCCGTACGTGGTCTAGAATCGCTAAAATTGAGTTCAAAATTTTGACGTCATCATTTTTGAAAAGTTTTTTTTACTATAACTTGGCCAAAAAAACGAGATATCGATCTGAAATTTGGTATGTATATAGAAGAGCGAAGTGACTATCAAATATATTCCGTTTTTTTTCGAAATTCGAAAAAATGGATTTTTTTTAGTTTTTCTAAAAAAAATCATGTTTTTAATTTGTTAGGGTTAAAAACCCAAAATTTTAAAAATCCAAGAGAGCGAGCACAGGGGGGGGGGGGGCGAAAATGGCCCTCCCAACGGGGCGAGGGTTAAGCCAATTGTTCGGTAGCAAAAATATTTAAAACTGGCAGAAACGCAGAAAGGCAGAAACGGTTGAGTAATGTGTCACATTTGCCTCTGACCACCAGAGCGGTGCAGTTATGGATTTCGCCGGCTCAGCCGCGCCGCCGCCGCTCACCCATCTCAGCCGATCGGAAATGGTACAGCAAAAGTGCTTAAGTTTAATCCGCGCCGGGCCGGGAGCGGGGTGTTTGAACACCCCCCTGCGGTTTTTCGCAGATGACTCAAAAACGGCGGCCTGTTCGTGCATCTTTTCCGTACATGTTGTGAAAATGTCAGACCCAGGTCGCCTTAGGCCAGGTCACCAGGTCACGCCAAGTGACCTAACCTCAGAAAAAATAAGAATGCTCGTCATAGCTACACCGATTGATCGATTGCCTTAACCCTATTAGTGGCAGGCTCCTGGCTACCCCCTATTAGTGGCAGGGGGGGGCTGTTTACGACCCCCCCTTGATATCTCGAGATCTAACGGGCCGATTTTCAAAATTCAAACGGCATTCGATTTCGCTCAACGAGATCTACATTTCTAAAAAAAAAAAAAATTAAAAAATGTCAATAGGGGGGTAGAGGGGGGTAAAAACGGGCAAATTGCAGATACATTTTAGACTGTTTATCACGGCCAGGTTTCTGAACCAATCTTAACGCAACTTTTGCCGATCGATAGAGAATGAACCAGGCATTCACATGGATCCTAAAAATATGCATTTTCAAAAATCATAGGCGGATACAGATCATTGAGATTGGGGGTACACAAAAAGTATAGTAAATAAGGTTTTTGTTGGTACTGTTTCTAAAAAGGGTGGCAATGGTCTTGTTATGTTACAATTTTCTTATGAGAGAACGACTAAAATTGTATTGGTCATGCATAGGCGGTGTCAGGGCACCTATGTTGGGAGGTAAAAAATAACCCCCCTTTTTGGACGCCTGGATCCGCCTATTATAGCAAAAACGTGTCAAAAGAGGATGCACAATAACTTTGTATATGTTATCACATGATACCTTTCATTCCCTGTTCGTAAAACTGGTGCAGCATCGTGATCTTCGCCCAAATGACTCGCTTCACGTATAGGACCCCCCAATTCCCAGTGCTCTGGAGCCGCCCCTGGTAAAGTTATGAACTTGAAATTTTCAGGGAATGTGCCCAATTTAGTTTTAGGAAAAGTCAGAAAATTTCAGCATCGTAGCTTCAGCGGTTTCGGAGATATTCCCGAAAAACCTGAGGGGTGGATAAAAACAACCCCCCCCCCCCTGCCACTAATAGGGTTAAAACTTTAAGCGACTGATCAATGCAAAAATATTTTAAAAATGGATATCTCGGAATTTTTATATCGGTGACCAAGGGTCGGGTCAATTTTGCGGTCTCTCCGTTATAAGTTAATGGGAGAAAATTGAAAAGCGTCTGTTTTGCACGAACGCTATTCTAGACACTCAAACATCGAGATGTAGGTAAAATTGACACACTGAACCGGAAAATGGCAACTCGGCCCCGTCGATATGTCCCCGAGGTCATCTCAGGTCACGAACAAATTCTAACAGTTTTTCGCTAAAAACTTCTGATAGATGCGTGCTAGAGCGCTGAAACCACCTTCCATGTGTTCGGCTCGACGTTGCGGATCGACTGATATGCAACATGACCTTTTCCGGTCAGGTCATGACCTTGACCTCAGGTCATGACCTTGACCTGAGGTCAAATTTTCCAGTTGACTTTTCAAGGTCAAATTATAGTTCATTCGACGTGTCTCGACGAGAGGAACACGATGCTGGCAAAAGTATTGTCATGGCTCTTTTGAGTCAAAAGTTATTGCCGAAAAAAACTCTTTTCGAAAAAAAACGACTATTTTGGAGTTTTTTCCCTCTGGAGGCTAAAAATGTTGACCTGAGGTCAAATCTGAGAACATTAATCAGAAAGGTCTGTAAAAGGGCTATCGAATGCGCTTTTCCGCGGCGCTGTAGCTCTATCGGTTCCCGAGATAGCCGTTGGCAGTTTCAAAAATGTTGAAATAGTCGACATTTTACATTTGGTGACCTCTGGTGACCTGACCTTTGACCTGACCCGAAAAATGACCGAAGTGTTTTCGTCCTTATTTTGGCCGTTCTTCCGATTGCCGCTTACCGCGTGTCGCTACATGGCCCAGGAGCCGAGTTAGAAGGGGAGGGTGTTCAGACACCCCCCCCCCCCCCCCGGCCCGGCGCGGAATCTCAGAGCACTGGCCCGGCGCGGGTTAAAATACCAATACAATCAAAACAAATGTCTTACTGGTAAATGACGCAAATCACAATTCGCTTCAACAATGTAACCTCCAAACACAAATAATCATACACATATTATTTAATATGTGTAAATAATCATACACATACACAATCATACACAAATAATCATACACATATTACAAATAATACATATTATTTGTGGTTATTATGATTAATAATCACAAATAATCATAAAAACGTCCCCCAAACTAACCTGTCTCGGGAGGCCTCTGATGCTGTGACGGGCGAGTGTGCGGCAGCTGAAATGCCGGACTGCCGGATTGGCTCCGGCGGTCGACGGCTCAGCTGCGCCAGAGCCGCACACCCGCCTCCGTCAGCCTGCCGGTGTAGTAATTGGACAAGGTATTATTCAAGCTAATTTATGTATGATGTTCCTAGTTTCATGACTAGTCACAATTATTTAGAATGAACGTAAGGTGGACTTGATAAGGCACAAAACTTGAAAGGGACACGGGAAACAGGACACGGAAGCGAAACAAGGGAACTGGACACGAAAAGGGGACACGGAAACGGGACACGGAAACAGACATACAAACAGGTCACGGGAACGGGACACGATAACCGGACAATTTGTATAAAAAAATAACAATAAGCAGATTCAGCTGGTGTACTCACGCCCGCTGGTGGTGGGCTTGGTCCTGAGGTCGGCGGTGCTGGTGGCGGTGCTGCCAATGCTGGGACGAGAGCTGAAAGACCAGAGATGAATGTCCAGCACCTAGCTATTGACCGTTGATTGTTTGTCATTTAAAATTTAGTGCCGAGCCAAAAATCGCATATCTATAAAGTTCGTTATCTGTCACACAATCTACAAAGTTTTGAGTAATCTACAAAGTAGATTACTCAAACCGGCCTCACGTTTGACACGAGATATCCTATCCTGGAGATTTATTATTATTACATAGACGTATTGATATAAATGGGAAAGGCAATGGGAACGTGTTGTTTTTATATTAAAATTGGTTACACATGTGTTTCGGGAATAATCCCTTGGTCACACCATATAAAAATAACTACCTATATCGAAATACAATCGAGGTCGAACGGGGTCGAATGGGGACGTTCACAGACACTCACAGATTAGCAATTCTATACATGACTGAAAACGTTACACTGCTTTTCGCCCGGAACCCCTACTTCCTGAAATCATTTTTCAAAATTAATTGAGCAGTGTGCTTGCTGAGTTTTACTTTAGTATAGTTTTACTTCAGTTTTACTTCAGTCATGTATAGAATTGCTAATCTGTGAGTGTCTGTGAACGTCCCCATTCGACCCCGTTCGACCTCGATTGTATTTCGATATAGGTAGTTATTTTTATATGGTGTGACCAAGGGATTATTCCCGAAACACATGTGTAACCAATTTTAATATAAAAACAACACGTTCCCATTGCCTTTCCCATTTATATCCTGGAGATCCTATGTTTCAATCAATATTGGAAATGCAGAACAGTAAAGCTCATGCCAAACGCTCACTTGGAACTTATTTAATTTTGAACTAAAATCGTCAAACTGCGCCACAAACGACTGAACAGAGCGTCACATTGGTCTCTGACCACCAGAGCGGTGTGTTGTATTTCACCGTCTCAGCTGCGCCGCCACCGCTCACCCGTATCAGCCGGTCGGAAACGGGAAGCTGAAATTGAGGGCCGCCATCAAAAATAAATAGAGACAATACAAAGGGCTAACCGGTAAATGATGAAAAAAACATTCGCCTCCCATGAAGTGCAACTACAAAGGTTGAATCACAAACATGCATCACACAAGAAGCGTCCACCAAACTAACCTGTCTCGGGAGGCCTCTGATCCTGTGGCGGGCGAGTGTGCGGCAGCTGAAATGCCGGACTGCCGGATTGGCTCCGGCGGTCGACGGCTCGGCTGCGCCAGAGCCGCACACCCGCCTCCGTCAACCTGCCGGTACAGTAAATGGACAGGTGATCATTCCAGATGATTTATGTATGACGTCATATGTATGTTACTAGTTTTACTTTAATTAGCACCATACACTACTGTATTACTATTACTACTAGCTACTGTAATTCTGACAACTGCATTATTGACATAGAGTAGTCTATGTTAGCATATATAACACAAAGAAGGACGTTATATATAAAAATACACGGGGACGGGACACGGGGAACGGAACACAGGTCATTGACCCAGGAAATTATGTGTATATCATAAGCAGATTCCGCTGGTGAACTCACGCCCGCTGGTGGTGGGCTTGGTCCTGAGGCCGGCGGTGCTGGTGGCGGTGCTGCCAATGCTGGCAGGGGGTCTGAAATAGATAGATAGGGTAGTGTGGGGTAATTTGAACATATTTTTACGTCTTCTCCGTTGTACCAAATTCCAGCTCAACCCTGGATGAAGAAAAACTGTTTCAGTAGCGCATGTGTCACTTGGTTTCACCATGCAAGCCTCATTTTTGGACGAGCCGAGCATACCTTGAATAGCATAGCATCACTTCTCCACCAAGTCACGGTGTGTTCAAATTGCCCCACCATGGGGTAATTTGAACATACTGCCTTTACCTGCCATAAAAACGATAGTCTCGCCAGCACCGATGTTGTTTGACCCATAAGCGAATAGGCAGAGCAATTCTAAACATACCATCATTTGAAAAATCAACACAACAACAAAAATAAGAGTTGCAGAGTATCAATATCTGCACACTGCACACCGGTCATTTGACAGAATTCGCCTCTCTTCAATTAACAGATCGTCTATCATCTCTGTTCGATAAAAACTCTACAAAACCTTACTTTATCTGTTATAGTGGTGCCAATCGGAACCTGGACATTCGGAGTTCCGATTCTTTATAACGTCCAATTTGGAATTGATTGCACAAAGGTATAGTAGTCTGGACAACGTTGGACGATGGCCTGCCACACTTAAGCATTTTTATCAAGTAATCGTGCGTAGCATTGATTGGCGAATGGAAAGCTTGTTAATTAACCCGGCAGTTGCTGGGGTATTTCGCCACCCACCGTTTGCTGGGGGGGGGGGGGCGTTAAACGCCCCCAGCCAATAACTCGAGAACCAATAGGCGCAGCGAAACGCACGAGGCGGCAAACGAAAGAGCGCGACGAGACGCTTCAGATGAGTACTTTAAAGTTGAATTTTGAGGTCACAGGTCGGGTCAAGGTCAGGTCAAACACCTGAAATCGGGCTTTCAGTAGCATGGACTTCAGGACTTCGCAATGGGCGCCTCTTGCCATAAACTCTGTCAAAACGGTGCACAATCCATCTTATAAGGCCTACAAGAGTGTCAGCTCCATATAGGGGTCAGTCAAGCATAGGTCAGGGTCAAGGTCAGGTCAACCGGGTAGGCACATATCCCCGAAAATCAAAACTGATATTCGCAGCCTGTGACACATGTTTTATAGGTAATTTGGGGCGTAGAACACGATGGTGACATTCATTTTATCATATGTGTACGTGTTTGACTCAAAAAGTTCAATTAAAGAAATTCATGTATCATGGTCGTGAAGTAGTCACGAAAAATTGCCAAGATTCAGTTCAAGATTTTGGAAAATGCGGAACGATAATCAATAATCGAAGATAGCCATTTGATTGCTCATGGTATTGGTAGTCTAATGGCGTTTACGGCATGTCTGTATGTCTATTCTGTGATTTTATATGATTTTTTTGAACATATGCCGTTTTTGGTCGAAAACTAAGAAATCATGACGTCACTAAAACCTCGATATCTCAAAAATTTTCCGACCGATTTTTTTTTAAACTTTGTCACAATAAACTTCAAACGATTCCCTACAGGTCCCCAAAATTTGGCGCGCCTGCGGCGCGCCGTTTTTATGCTATGGCCCGGCGAAAAAAGTGGGGGCGTTTAACGCCCCCCCAGCAACTCGCGGGTTAACCCGCGCCCTGATGGGGGGGGGGGCCATTTTGCCCCCCCTGTGGTTTTTCTTAAATAGCGAGAAAACGACGGCGCGCAGCGCCGCCAAATTTTGGGTACCTTACCGGGCATCAATTTGACACCTTCGCACAAAATTTCAAGTCACAGGTCACCTTAGGTCAGGAGTTATTGAGGTCAAACTGAGGTCATGTTCGAGCAGAAATGAGCAAAAAACATGACATCTTGAAACGCTCACCAATTCTACAGTTAATAAGCAATTTTAAAGTTCTTTATGTGGTTGTGTAGAGAAAAGACGGCGCTACAAAACTGCTATCTCGGATTTTCGAAACTTTGGGATTTTGACCCCCAAAAATAAAAAAAATGATTTTTTTAGAAAAACTCTAAAAAATCCAAAAAAAAATTCGAATTTCGAAAAAAAACGGAATATATGTGATAGTCCCTGCGCTCTTCGATATACATACCAAATTTTAGATCGATACCTCTTTTTTTGCCAAGTTATAGCGAAAAAACTGTTAAAAATTGATGACGTCAAATCTTTGAACTCAATTTTTAGCAATTCTAGACCTCGTAGCGCAAAACGGAGACCACCATTGAACTCCCCGTGACGAGCTGCATCGAATCAATACCTATTTTATGCAAAAATATCAACTTTGAAATTTGACCTAATTTGACCTGACCTTGACCTGACCTTGACCTGACCTTGACCTGACCTTGACCAAAACGTGACCTACGCTGGCCCTAAAGTCTGTCTGACCCACATAATCGCATTTGTCATGTAAAATGAACCATAAAACATGTATCACACGACACTTTCATATTGTGACCCCCCCAGTGACCTGATCTCTGTGACCTGACCTGGTATCAGTGACCTCAAATAGCAAAATATGTGTTTGAAGAACATTTCTCCATCGATGATTTTCAATGAAATGCATTTTACTCGATTTTACAACGCATTTCTTGAAATGCCTGTAAACGGTGAAAATTCAACCTTTGACCTGACCTGTGACGTCATCGGTTTGACCGAGGTCAATGAAATTGGGTCAAAAGGTAGTTCCCCGCTGGGGCTATCCAACACCGTTTACCGCTTGTCGCTATGTTGCGTGGTTCTCGAGATCTGAGGGGGGGGGGGGCCAAAATGCCCCCCCCCATCAGACCGCGTTGCTCGGCAGACCCCATCTGGGCGCGGGTTAAGCTCTCAATATAATGAACACTTTTCGGCTGGTAAAATTACATGATAACCAATATAAATGACGGTTTTGAGTGTTGATAGCTGCATAATTTTCGGACATATTTGGACAAATAGTTGAATTTAACATTTTTGGACGGAAAATCAACGAAAATGCCGGACATTAGACGGATACCTATTAGACGTGAATTTTCTAAAACTGGCATCACTTATCTGCTACTGCTTTGGGTCGAAAATATTGGCAAAAAAACTGGGAGCGTTGTTTTTTCGGAGCTATCCCTGTCTTCATTGAAATTCTCACACTATGTTCAATTTACCCCACGCTAAAAGTTATTTTTCCATTTTCAAAAACAGGGTTCAAAAGCAAATTTCTTGGATTGAAGGCACTGATTAGGTCATTGTACAACAAAAGCCGTTGCGTATTAGGCGCTAGCAATGCAAGATTTTGCGCTGCAATGAAGTTGCAATGACGTGTTGTTAGGCGTTTATCCTTGCGAAATTGATTTTTTACACTGTGCGTCAACATCCTCATTCCCTGAAACTTTAACCCGCGCCCCAGTGGCGGTCTCAGCCAACTTCGCCCTAGTGAGT